CAACAACACGCACCAATAACCATCAAGTTGAGAAAGCTAAAGAAGTTGTCTCTTCGACATACCTAGGCAGCATCCTCTCAACTACAGGCGTAGGCGACACAGATGAGGATGTCAAAAGCAGGATCGGAAAGACGGCAAGACAGGTGTTCATTAATCTGACACGAGTGTGGAGATCTACTGCACTCCACTCAGCACAAAGAACGAGATCCGGATTTTCAACACCAATGTCAAGTCAGTGCTGCTATGTGGTGGTTCAGAAACTTGGTGCGTCATGAAAGCACTTTCAACAAACTACATATATTCATCTAAACTGTCTACGTTGGCTCATTGCTGAAGATCAGATGGTCAGAATAGTAAGAATAAGCAACAAGGAACTCTGGCTGGGCTGCGAACTAATCAAGAAGCTATCGCCCAACAAATACGCAGAAGGAAGTGGAGATGGATTGGATTGGGCATACATTGAGAAGGCCGATTTGGGACATCACGCACCTGGCGAGACCCTTGAGTGGAACCCAGATGGAAAACGACGAGTTGGGCGTCCCAGCTGAGGATGACACGGAGATTATGTGAGGAAGAAATGAAAGCTTGTGGGCAGTCGTGGCGCCAGGTCCAAAAGACTTCGAAGAATAGAGTGCAATGAAAGCGTGCTTCTGAAGCCCTATGTTTCACTAGGAACCCAAGGGATAAAGAAGAAAGCTACAAGCTACTTCTCCTGACATAACCGTCACTGTTGGGATACCCTGAATCCTCTCTGCTACTCAAAAATTTATCATATCACAATTACCTACCGACGTGGTGTGTATTTAGGACTGTCGCTGCTCTTCCGCTACTTCTTGAGACTATGATAATTCTTTAATTTACAGTGAGACGATTTTGCGCTTTGATGATCATCAAAATCATCGCCTTAAACGAGTCAACCTAAGAAAACTCGTTATTCCCCGTAATGCAACCAAGTTAAGTTCAAGGCTACCTCTCAAACCCTCCAAAAATATAGGTAAAGATTGTTACATCGACGAGACGCCATACAATGGGCGAGTAAGGCTGCTTGTAACTTTGAAGAATGTCCTGCTAGTAAACAATGAATTTATGTGAACTCCTTATAACTTGTTGATACATTTCTTTTTCCCATCATACCGTGAGTACAACGGTATGCGTAGGCCCTTTAGTGACAGATCATACTCCATCTAGGCGAGGATCGTGAGGCATTTCGATCACAATGCATAAGAGAAATGTAGGTAGTAGCTGTCTGGCACTAACAGGGAGTTGTTTAAGATCATATGAGCCACTGAAACTAAGTTTGATATCTGTCATGAGTGACTGAAAGTAAACCGTGACAACTACTGCAATCACCAATTAGATTTTCTAAGAAAACTAGCCGAAAAGGTATGTAAATGATTTAAATGTTCGATTAAAAGGTTTTCATCAGTGAAACTGTTTATGAGGTAGCTGGTAATATGATCAGCACTTCTAGACTGCTGAAACGCTAGAGCAGTCCGAAAAATGATTTCAATTTGCCTGTCATTTCAGGTAACACTAACTTACTATAACAATCGGTTAGCACCGAACCACCCAATGATAAGCAGATTTGGAAGACCAAGTACTAAAGTGTTACAGAGAACGCAACCAAGACGATCAGTTATTTCTAAGGATGGGGATGAGGCTGTAGACAAGGAGTTAACTACGTCGTTTAAAGTAAGTCCAACTTCATCATTCCATGATGAGGGTATTCATTTAGCCATCATAAGAAAGGTCCAACGTAATGTATGCAATAATCATTGAAGCATCATTCTACTTCCAGCAGCCAGTAAAATATTGGCTGTCATCATTTTTTACAAGCTCTTTGAAAAGTGTGAAAAGCTGATTCATAGGAAGCAGATCAAGTTTTGTTCAGATTGTGAATGCATAGGTCTTGCGCTAAACCTTCAACAAATATCTGAAAATTATAGCGCATCGTAAACTAACATTTGTGTTTCACGATATTGCGGTCCCTTTCGACTTGTTCGGCATAACCATGCTATATAACTGCTTGTGTAGGGTGTTCCTGAAATGTTTACAAACAGCTGGAAGGCCTTATACAATGAGGGAATACAGTTACTTCATTTTACTGTTCCAAACCGGCAGTGTGGTTAAGCAGGACTGTTTGGTCCCACCACTTCTCTCTACCGATGACATTCTCGAGACAGCTATGACGGTACAGGGTGGTGCAGTAGGTCTACTACCTACAGAGACATTTCAACACTGAATTTGTAGATATGTTTTACAGTGCAATATTACACAAGTTACCCAAATCGCACTTAAACAATTGGTGATCAATGTCCGTAAGAGTGGTTTGGAATTCATACTATCGAAGTGCTTTTGTAAGATTGGCAGCAGCCCATGCATACACTAACTCATGGCAGTGAATTGTTGGGAGGAGTCGAGAGTTTTGTGTATTTGTGCGAGTGTTAGAGAGAGGTGTGACTAATGAGATTTCTAAGTGCATGCCAAAAGACAGAGCAGCACATTTCAATCTCCATCGTCTTTGGTGGCATCGTGACGTTAGCTTGGTCGAAAACATCAGATTTACAGTGCATTGGTGATGATAGCTTCGCTATCAGCCTGTGAAAACTGGTCTCTCGGACCGGTGGATATTCGACAACTCTGTGTTTGATCGCCGTTGTCTCCAAAGGTTTTTTCGCATCCCATATAAATATTATGTAAGTTATTCTGACGTGTGACGCGTGTTAAGGTGTAACAGGGATTGTTATTCATCCACTTAGTTCATCCTAAGACACCAACTTCGGTGGCTTAGACACTTCGAAAATCATCATAGCGACTCCCGTGCCGTTCGCTTGTTCTGGAACTGGCTTCAAGGAACCAAGAGGTGGTCTTTGTGTGAAGCTGCACTGTGGGATGAGGTACAGTTGTGTTGGGTTAGAATCTGAGGATCTCACGACGCCTTGGATACAGTGTGGGAAATTGTGCGTCTTAGTGACTTGAAACGATAGCAGATATAGCTCAGAATTAGAACCAGTGGCAATCGTGCTGCAGCTTTTATTTTTATTGTTATCGAAAAGTAAAACGAAAGCCTTGAATGTATCTTTGAGACTACTTTTCTTACAACCCATTTCTATTTTCGCCTTTCCTCTATGTTTCTTTGACGTCTTCTTGATGTTGATAACATTTTGTATGGCATATCTCTTCGTCCCAAACTGTATCAAGATTGTATCGTAAAAAAAATAGAAATGAGCGCTCAGAACATAAGTAAACAAGTTACTTGTCCTTGAGAAGCACCTACATGACAATGAATGTTTTACCGATAAAAATGCAACAGCTTGCTAGTGAAATGAGTGTTCACTGAGTCGGATATAGTGAACATTGCGTTTCGTAAACGATTGGGTCAATGAACTCGTCCCTCTGTATAACACTGCTTAGGACATATCTCCCACGAAAAAAAGTACGCGACCAGCGTAACGTCCAACTACATTTAAGCATCTACATGTATTTGACGAAAGGAGTATCTTAGAGGGATAGAAAGATGAGCTTCCATTTGCTTGTCAGTACATTCCGAAATATTTGATATTGATAACGTTTGTACTAGTTCAAAAACTCATTTGTCCCCCATTTTATTGACTCAGGACACAATGCAGATCATATTTATTACATTTTAAAAAACAAACCTACAAAGAACTTTACTTTAGGTTTTTCGCTGAATCAAAAGCCAATGAACGTTAAAATCTGACTTCTGTGTTGAAAGAGAGATAATCACCAATCTAATACTACTCCGGTAAAACTTGTATCTACTAATCTTTGAATGTCTTCTCGTCAGTCCTTCTGTTTTCCTTGTTTATTCCAAATGTTCCATATAATGCGAAACTCAGCTGCTTGTTGTTGTGAAAATTTTGCTGTTATCATTGTTGCATACCATTTTGCCAAAACTACATTAGATAACTACATAAAGCCTCATCATTATCACCTGCCATGTTGACATTTTTCATTCGGATTTGCTTATCCAATCCTACTCCCGCTGAGAGTTACATCAAAACAAGTGGGGTGGCTGCTAACAAAATCTCAGCATTTGCCAACTTGTATCGTCTTTGGTGCGAACTGGTGAGATATCTAACTACCTATAGAAGGAAGAGTATACTATGCTGTGGTAACATTCTGTCCTGTCATATGACTGTGAGACATGGCTGTTGAGAGTAGATTTGAAGACACTATAGATTTGACCACAGGTTTCTTCGTAGCATTGGTGACGTATGATGTGATCACCAAGTGAGCGCTGTCGAGGTTAGGCGAAGGGTACTAAGCAAGTCGGCCGATGGGGTTGAAAACCTTCAGCGACTGAGGTGGCTAGGACAGGTGTTGTGAATTGCAAACCACTACCTACCTTGACGTGCAATGTTAGCTGAAGTTGGTTAAGGTTTAAGGAAGGTTCAGAGTGACCAAACCAAGAAGTGGTACCACCTTATGAAGTATGTGACTGTTGGTCTGAGTCTTGTAGGAAGGTGTAAACTGCTTGGTTGGGATCCTCGAGATAATAGGAATCATCAATGGTTGGCGGCCCTTGATGATATGGTCACAATGGGGCAGTTGTATTCACTCTTTGATATCTTCCAAAGCTTGAGTATTTTGAATAAACTTTGTTTTCGAATCCCTCTCCTCTCATACACCGTCTACTTTGATATCATTCTTTTTCGATCCATTTATTCTTTGTATGCGGTTTTGAAGTGTTGCAACTTGAAGCAAAGCACTTCTGTGCCACGTCCCACGTCGATTTTGTCTTTCTGACTTCCCCATTGTGGACGACAGTTTTATTCTAACTCAAATCCGTTTTACTTATCTTATTCTGATAGTACTACATTTATTTTTGGTAGTTAGTAACCAAGTAGAAGCCACGAAATAGAATAAACTCGCCACATTCTGCAAACCTTGAAGGGCTTGCTGTTTATGAAAATAATTAAGGTAATAATGTCATAAGAATAATAGGCGAAATTGTTTAATGTGTAAAAAGATGATACCTTTTGAATTGAATCAGATGTATCTTGGGGCGATTTATCTTGCCTACTGGTAACACAACACCCTGAGCCAACATGAAGAGAACCAGATACTCTTTGAACTTTTGGAGGGGCTGTGGTTGAATTGGCATCATTATATTCACTTCCTGAATTTGATGCATGACTACGACCACGTCGCACAGCATGGCGATGCATCTGAAAACGAAAAAATTACAACATATACAACAAAAACGTAATTGAAACAGTCTTTATAAAAAAATTGTTTTTTTCCCCATTATGTAATAATGATAACTGCTACCATATCACTGTGGTGACGCATTCATACCAAGACATAAATTTCCATCGTTTGACACCTGAAAAAAGTGATACTGTTGAAGAGTGTTTTAAACAAGGTAAATCAACTCTTTAATAATATTTGAACTCAGTAGTTTGTCAGGTGATGTCAAATTATAGTGCTGGTAGTCAACAATAGATACAGCTAATTCATGAAAATTGATACAACAGGAGCTGTAGATAATGGAGATTCTGAGTCAAGTTTCTTATGACATTGTCCCTTCCCAATTCGCCACCTTTTATTGATACCATTGGTAGCAGTATTCCCGATTTTTGAATGATCCAGATACCAATAGTATACTCAAAATCGGATCTGAAGATATGCAAGTATGTTTTGAATGACCTCTACATATTACATATTTCATAGTGAAAGAGTATTATTTGGTGGATTACATTTTAAATGAAATGTACTGTTCAGATTTTACACCTTGTTTCTTCAGTTCTACTTTTTCCTCTCTTTTTGTAGCAAAGGTAGTGACATTTGAAACGTTAACTACCAAATAAAATCCTGTTTTAAAATCCAAAGAACAACAGTGTACAGTATACATTATCCTAGTACTGGACGTATTTAAGGACGATGGTCGAAGATTATTGGTTAGGTTAACTAAATTGTTAGCCAACTAATAAGAACGGCCTCAATGACTGGTTATCCTAGTCTTTAAGAAAATGCTCTTGAGATAACAACGGGAGAATCAGTCTCATGAACTTAGCGTGTAAGATTTCACGATCTACAGTCACCATACACGTGAAGCTCCAGAAAAGTAAGCCTGAGAAAACCAGACAGGTCTTAAACCTGGTGTTGCGTTTGTTGACCAAATATTCACCTTCAGTCAGATTTTTGGACACCGTCACATATACCAGCGCCCGACACAAGTTGTTTCTTTTGACAAGGTAGCATCCAACTATATTGACTGAAAGGTCTTATTGTAGTATCTATCCCTGAATAAGTAGAGAGATAATTAAATTGTAGTGAGCTACTATGTGCATGTTTATGCACTAAACACTGAGGCACCGAATTTTTTATGGAGGATAGGGATACTACTCAAACCTAGGCGCATGGATCCAAGTTAAAGCCTATGAAACATTTTTAAAACGTCAACCGCCGAGACTAAAGAGCCATAGCTTTATCTGGCAAGTACAAAAGGCTGTATGTTCAAGTGCACGTTGGCATTGAGAACCTTTGACAAGACAACAGGTGAGTTGTGCACATCAAGGATGTCCAATCCCATTCCTATTCAACTTTACCACAGATGTACTCATAAAGGCCTCTCTCTTGTCTTCTGACTTCACACGCATTGATCATATCGTAGGAAAATCCTTAATATACATTCAACAGTACGCAAATGATGACATAGTCTTGTCAGGTGAAGACCCTGATAAGATGCGGTCTCCTGAACACCATAAGTGGGAATTCGAGAATGTTTCGGACGCGTTTCTCACCACCAAAAATCCAAACTGTTGCTCAATGACTGGTCTTCAGCAGTCCTACGTCTAACAATAGAAAGTTAGGCGTCTGAGTGCGTTGAACACTTCACTTATCTGGGAAGTTGGGTCAGCCCTGATAGGTCAGTAGCCGACCAAATCTCTGTACGGATAGGAAAAAGGCTTGAACGGTTTTCGCCAACTTACGTCATTTATAGTGCCACTGTGATATTCGACTGTTGCTAACGCTTGAATTTACTGCACTCCAGTTCGCTCCGTTCTACTAAGTGATTTTGAAATATGACCGTGTGACACGTCACATAATGTTAGTTCAAGTAGTTTTAAGCTTTAAAAAAAGACTAGAGGTGGCCAAACTAAAAAATATATATCAGTTTATGAAGTCGCTGACTGCTGATTTGAACCGTGTGGAAAATGTAGACTTTCTGGTTGGGATTCGCATTGCAAATGGAGACTCTAGGTGACGTGATTTAGAGTCGACCTGATTGGCATGACAGCATCCACCCATTATCCCAATCTTAACCTTCATGCTGAATTTCAGTATTGTCTTGTTGCTTCTTATTTTTTTCTCACAACTTTCCACTACTTTTGATTATTTCCTTCCTTATTTCTGTCTTTCACCTTGGTGCCTTGTAACTTGATATGCTAATGCAAGGTCTTAATGTGATCCTGATTAACCGACAGTGTCCACGTCCTACTATATTCTGAATGCTTTTAAGAAACCAGACTGACATCTAGAAAGTTGGCTTACCTTTCCAGGAGCTTAGCTATGATGATTTGGATAAGTGATGTCATTCGTTATTCCAACAGAATGCACCTGGTAGAAGATCGAAAGAAATTATCCAACCGTTTTCCCATCAGCTTGTTAATATCAATTATTAGTCAACGCTTTCTACGGCTTTATGAAGTTAGTATTTAGTGAGAATGAGAATACTCACAATCAGCTCGGTATTACGAGCAGGATGAGATAGGTTCAAACTGGAATTTCTTATACATGACTAGTTCATGGTGTTTATGTTTATCTATGCATTGTAGTCACCAAGTGCAACTGAGATTCCTTTTCAGCTGTTTAACCACATAAAGTAAGATGTTAAGTTTATTCTGGAAGACACGAGTTACTGGCCTGATGCAATCCGATGGACAGAACTATACACCCCCACCCCGCCAAAGACAATGAAGGTCGCCACTAAATTATTGACATTATGTAGAATGGGGTTACAGGAAGCCTGCTCAGGTAAGTATGAGTTTCTTCCGCGTCACGTTATGGGTTAAAAACACCTATTATCATTCCAGTCAAATGCCGAACAGCATTTTACGACGTGAACTGCAAACCACTGCGTAGCACAGCTACTTGTCATGTTAGTAGCACTGCCACGGTTTTTCGGAAACCATGGTTTCGGATAATGCATTACCCATACTAATCACAACAGTTTGAAAAATTCTACTTTACACGCACATCTCCTTATTATTTGCAGTCCAACGAGCAAGCTGAAAGATCTGTTGACATCCTTAAAAACCTTAATTAAAGAAAAGGCAAGTTTTTCAGAAATAATGCAGAGTTTTTAGTTCATCTACTTAACGAACCCAAATCTAACCACTAAATCACTAGTCTTTTGAGACTTTATTAGATGCAAACTATGAACACATCATCTGGTATTGTCCACAGATCGATGTATAGTACAGTAGGTCCGATCGCACTTCCAGATAGGGGACTTTAATTCCAGGATTATAGACCTGGACACGTCGTGTGCATCGAAGTAGTAGCTGGAAAAACAGGCAATGTGCTGCATGGCATCAATGTTGGTCAGAAGACAGAGATTAGACATAAGAGCCAACTGTTTCAACAGAAAGCCACCCATTTAGTGAAACCAAATTCACCTCCAAATTTCTTCCTCGATATGTCTGAACTACGAGGGACCGAAGCAAAGTTCACAATCTGAATTAAGAAAAGGACAACTAACCAGAAAACTGACAGGAAAATAATCTCATTCCCTAAAAGATATACGCAGTATTATTTTTCAGGGAGGTGCTAAGGAATCTCGAAACCTATCCTTATAAGAGAACTTCTGAATGCATCTAAATTTATGTTCAATAACTTGTTTTCGCTTGTTCATTAACCTTATTGGTTGGTGCTAGTTCCAAAAAACCAATGTCCTCCTTTTTGTAAAGGATCAAAAGCATTGTCTATAAATGGAAATGTCATGAGTGTCCTGTTATGACTGAAGGCTTGTTTTTCTCCTTATCTGAGTTAGTCGCGGTGCAGATGCTGATGGTTGAAGCATAATGTTGGCTTGCATTGTGATGTGCTTAAGAAATTCATCTGGACAAAGTGATTAGTGAACCTACTTTATTACTGTATATCTGAAAAATGAGACCGAAAAAAAATAACCTTTTTTCGATGACCACTATACTTCAAAGTACTTTCTCTAATAGTATCCATCGCTAGCCAAACGACTGACAAACATATCACCATATTTTTATGATGGCGATCCTAATACCTAAATAACAGTGCATAGACGACAACTGTGATCAACGCATCATTGTCCACATTTCCTCAATATTTTTTCTGCTTGCCAAAAGAACCCATGAGTTAAACAGTTTGTCTAGTAACTTTTCCATTTTGCCAAAACCTGGAACGATATTGCCAAGTATAGATAGATTTCCAGTGAGTAATCCGAAACGCTGAGTCTTGGTTGCCGTTCAGACGAATCGAACTGAAGGCAAAGACTAATCAAATCCCTACTCATGACAATAAGATACATGCGAAATTACCATTTCAATTAACTGACGACATCGAAGCTGAACAAGCAGTTCTGGACACCGCTCAAGAACTTGGGATACAAGCGATTTAAAGTGGCAGCAGCTTTCCCGTATTGACATCTTCGACATAATGCTCGTAATCGTCTTCGATGTAGCATACTTGCAATACCTGGAAGTTGATTGCCTAACTGGCAGCTGATGTTGGCAGGTGCTAAACATGAGCTGTCACTATGACGGCGTTGAAGAGCAGGAAGATTAGATTCTTTGTTGGCAACATCTTGATGCATATCAACATTCGTCTCTGATGAACTGGAAACTAGACTTGATCGATTAGAAGTTTCTTCAGAAACTGGCGTTTGCACTACTTGAACGTCAGAATTGTGAACAGAAGCTGCGAGGTTGGACCAGTGAGAAAAGGCTTTGGCAGTAGCAACGTAACCATGATGAACAAGGTATCCAGATACAAGCCTATCAACGATTGTAAAATAACGGAAGTTAGTACATGGTAAGACGAAATAGAAAGAATTAGTAAAATACTCACCAAACAAATTACCAACATCACACTTCAATATAATGAAGCTCCATAACATTCAAATCAGTGCAGCTTGCATAGTAGTTGAATACCACAATGTGTATACCTCAAAATACGACCATTTTTGCTTCGTCCAACCTATAAGCATACCAAAGATCTATACAGACGAAACTATAAAGTTGCTTCTCAGTAAAGTGAGGATTATGTTGAAGTCTAACCTGATCATAATACGTCAGAAAACGAAAAACGTTAACGATATCATAACCTACTGACTGACAAAATGAACGCAGAACCTCGCACACAGGTGCATCGGTTTAAGTTGTCACACTTTACGGTAGTACCCAAAAAACAGGTAGACAGAAAGTGACTAGGTTCAAAGTAGACAAAGTTGTATGAGAGAATAAGCAATTTGAAGTACAAGGTTAGTGCGGGTATTCAAGCTTTAGATATCGAGGAGTGAATACATCTGCACCATTGTGACCGATTTTCAGCCATAGAATCTTGAGTCATGTACGTATGCTGTGTCTTTGAGACACATATACAGGACCTGAGTGTGGTTACTAAGTTGACCTCACCTGACCGTGGGAGTGAATTTTCAACGTACACCTTACGAGTACCCAGAGACCTAATGGCTAACTCTCGTCAACTCGCTGGTGTAGGCATAGTATTGAGTTGTAGGGTAGGAAGTGCGCTCCTCGATTGGATATCAGTTAACAGCCGTCTACGTGTTGTTTGACTGAGTGGATCTGTAAGAACCAGGAGGGATCGTGAGACTAGGCGATGATAATTCGTAATCTCCGCCTACCTACCTACCGACTGCAGTTCGGATGATACAAACGGTGAATTCTATGAGAAGCTGCCAACTTTGCTACAGAAAGGAAAACGTTAAGATGTAGTCATAACGGCAGGTGACTTTAACGCTCAAGTAGAGAAGCTGAGCTGATCCAATCGGAAAGGCATCTCAGAGGTATTTACGGAATTCCATGCCAAAGAACTGACAACGGTGATGGCCTGTTGCAGTTTCGCCCCGGCAACCACTTGTTTTTTTGGACAGCACTAACTTTAGGCATAAGAGACACTGTCCTACATGGTGTCCGCTGACTTCAAACCAACGATGGACACATCGATCACATTGTTATAAGCCATCGTTAGAGATTTCCACTTTCTGAAGTACTAGTTAGGACTCTGATCACGCATTAGTACGAGCTCATGTATGTCTACACCTTACTCGTCGCAGGAAATAGGAGGCAGTGAGGCCCATCTATGCTCAACTGGTAGATAAGGACACCAAGTACACGTTTAGGGAGGAGTTAGCTAAGCATTTATCTGAACGTGACAGCAACGCTCATCCTGAGGAAACCTGGTGTGGCGTGATATTACGTCTACTGCAGAAATAACGGTAAAGACCATTCATAACCTACACCTGAAGGTTAGGAAACGTCAATGGATTTCTGTGACGTCATCCTGAGTGGTGCGAGAAGACTGATTTCAGTTGGTTTTGACTATGAAGAAGAGCGAAAGCAACTAGAACGTAAGTTTATCAGTAGTCTTCGTAATGATTGCCAGCAGTGGTTGGTGACGAAAGAGAGAGAGAAATGGAGAATGCATCGGCAGTGGGTAACACTCGACAATTACTTAGGCTTATCAAGTATACCGGCAAGAAGAAAACCGTGGTTACAGAAACCATTATCGGAGAATGGGACGCCGAAAATCTTCCAAGACAGACGGCTAGAACGTTGGGCCGAATACTCTGAAGCACAGTTCAAATGACCCTCAGTAACGCTTCAGTTGCCCCAGTCTGAACCTGAAGAGGGCATAGATGTCGGCCCTATAACTCTCCTTGAAGTCGAGAAAGCTATGTCAAACATGAAACGATGCAAAGCAGAAGGACGTGACAGTTTGTTACTCGAAGTCCTCAAGGATGGAAGTAGGCAGTTCCTCATTAAGGTGAGGGAGGGTACTACGCATTATATGGGAATCAGAGGTGGCCCTGTCAGACTGGTATACTTCTCTGATCATCCCAGTCCATAGGAAGGGAGAGAAATCTTGTGAAAACCACAGAGCAATTAGTTTGACTAATATTGTGTCCAAGATCCTAGGGTCCATGGTTATCCAACGCCCATCTGGACCCCGAGAACACCAAATTCGAGACAATCAGGCAGGTTTCAGACCTGGGAGGGGAGTGTATCGATCTGATTTCTACCCTACGACAGGTTCTGGGAAACAGGCATACCTATCGGCGGCCGACACTTCCTATATTTTTCGACCTGAAGACGTCATTTGACTCAGTCGACCGTAAGGTGTTGCAGCAGTGTCTGACTGTGTAGAGAGTACGGAGCAAGTGTATCAAACCTCTCTACTCAAATACACGCAACCGTGTTTGGGCTTATGAAGGCTTGTCATATGAATTGAAAACAACTAGCAGTGTTCACCAGGGATGCCTACTATCACTGTTCCTATTTAACTTCTTCATAGACGTATTAATAGACATAAGCTTAGGTACGCCTGAGTTTACAGAGATTGACCTATACTCCCTAGAGGTCATTTGGATAACTTGGAGTATGCAGATGATATTGTCCGGGTAGATGAGGACGCTGACAAAATGCAGGGACTTCTGAAAGCGTTGAGCAGAAATCTGAGTATGTTTGATATGAGTTTCGCACCTATCAAATGTAAGATGATGCTTCAGGACGGGTCCGCAACTGCTCTCAGTTTAATGATAGGGAATGAGTGAAGTGGTGGAATGTATCGAACACTTCACTTACTTGGGGAGTTGCATAAGCCCGAACAGGATGGTTGGTGAAGAAATCTCAGCTCGAATACAGAAAGCCCGTTGGCACTTACCAACTTACGTCACTTGTGGCGCCAGCAAGATATTTAACTATTTATCAAAGGACGAGTAAACTGAGCTGCAGTCCATCCTGTCCTTTTGTACGGCTGTGAGACATGGCCATTAAAAGAAGACACAAAGCAATCACTGAGTTTTGATCCCAAATATCTTTGTAGCATTGTTTTCGCTTGGTGGAATCATCATTGAGGAATGTTGAGATCAGGCGAAGAGTACTAGGCAAGATAGGCAAGTTGATTGATAAGGTTGTGAACCTTTATCGACTAAGATGGCTTGGACAGGTACTGCGCATGCTGAGCCACCGCCTACGTCAACGTGCCATGCTAAGGGAAGTTGGATTAGGTCAGAAGCGGGTCCAGAGTGGCCAGACGAAGACCTGGTACCAGTCAATGAAGTCTCTGACTATTGGTCTGAGCCGTGTTCGCAGATGTGGACTACCTAGTCAGGGTCCTCTAGACGAAAGAAATCAGTGGTTGAGGACTCTTAGTGATATGGCTTACTTACAGTTTGTTCATTTCCCCATCGCTTAGTTTCATTCTGTAATTGCTCTTGAAAAGAACTAACATAACAGATAGACTACTTAGAAATAGTATACGCCTCCAGAAAATTGCCAGACGCATAAATTGTTTACTTTCATTGAGCTTCGTGTCACACCTGCAAACAAAATCTGTTACAGGTTCTGATGTTAATTCATTTAATAAAGATTGGGTGGTCAAATAGTATCACTTAACTGGCATCTAGAGCACGAATTTGCAAGCAATTAATCAGCTGCTAACTGAGACCATAACTGTTTTTGGTGTTGAGTGATAAATTATAATTGAGCGGGTTTCCAGAAATTTTATCCTTTTATGTACTTATCTTCAAAAAAACTTTTTAAAAATCCCGCATATTGTCAACATAGTTTTAATTTTATAGAGAAGGAAATAAACAAACAAAGTAAGCATTAAATGCCCGTAAACCTTACTCTTTTATTTTTATGCCAGCGAAATCTTCCTTGCATGTGCGCTCAATAAGTTTGTCTTCACGTGATATCCGTTCTGTTTTAAGATGGTTTTCGAAAGCAAAATAAAACGGCTGTTGCCCGAAATTGGTAGTCACTCTAACCCCGCGACCCTGTAAGCCTATCGTGGGAAATAAACGTGTGCCAGCACCCACCTGTAAGAAGTTTTAAAAAATCTTGAATAAACGCGTTGTAGTAAATAATAGACAAAATGAGTGTCACCAGGATCGTTACATAGTTGCTTATTTTACGAAAGATGTGTGACATAAGTGAGCATAGTTCAACCAACACAGGCAGTCTGTGCACTGGGCAATAGGTCACACCTGTTGTATGAGGGCTGATGGAGCTAACTGGTTACCCAAACTGAGGAAGGTGGAGAGAAATACGATTCCTTGACCCATTGGTCGAAAATATAATCCCTAAATTAGTGTTCCACGTCTGGTACATTACGTAACATGATAAACCTGTCAGGAATACCGTTTAATTTCTCACCATAGTCTCATGTAATTTGGTATTTCACTTGACTATACCGACTAGAGGGCTGGTCGTTCTTTACAAATCATAACTGTGTATTCACAAGAGTAATTTCCACATACATTCAACAGTAAGGCGAGAAGTGAGGACGTTAATAATATAGGGCATTGAAAACTTTGGTATTAGATCAGCCTATCTATAAAAATTTTGAACACTATTTATTACAAACCTATAACTTGCTATAGCATGCAAAGTGCAAAACCTTTTACATGAATAGAGAAAACTACTTACCGGCACTTTTCCCTCAAAAGCTTTACCTAAAAAGATACCATTGCGAGTGAAAAACAAACTTTGAGAGAGGAAATCAACACCACAACCAATAATATCGTTTTCACTAAAACGAGGTCCGAATTTCGTGGATGATGTCGGCGAACCATGGTAAACACAACCATCCATTTGATAACCGAATGAATTATTTTCGGAACCTAAATTTTGAAACAATCATTATACGACAGTTATAAGATATTGAACGCGATATGAGATAAAAGGATATCTGCAAAATAGTTGACTGAAATATGTTCACATTACGGCTGCTTATACGTACCTAAGTGCTTACACAAGTAACGGCAAAATGTATTACACAGCTTGAGACAACTATCCACCCGACTGACGTCATAAAATGATTGTCATTCATGTTTCGAAGGGATTAAACTTATTACACTAACACACAGTCAGATAATGTTGCAGCCACGAGACTTTATTTCAAGCAGAAGGATAGGTATATTTGTGAGCATATAGAGACATTAAACCATAGATCCACGTGGATGTGATACCGTGAATCATGAATCAACAGATAATTCGATTGCACAAAATCTCGACACTAGTTGCATCTTAACCATCTCTGCTTTTTCAATCTATTCCCCTGCTAGAGTAGGATGTTCGATATGAAAGTAGCTAGAACATTAACAGCTTTAAAACACTACTTAACGTGGTACTGTAAAAGATCTACCCACTGGGAGGCATGCACTGCACTGAAACCAATAATACTTCACTTTAGGATTACCGATACTATGTTCAGAGTATTTGCAGACAAAAATACTGAAAATAAATTGTCAAAATACGGCACGAAAACCCAACTGGTAGCTGATACCTTGGCATGGTGGTCGGACTTGCATTTCATAATGACCTAAAGAGCTACGTAGGTAGAATGCTTACTCTCTCGAGGTCCTGTCATATCAAAAACGTTCGTTAGATAATGGCAAAACGAAAAGCTGTGAACTAATCGCATAAACTGTCACAACATGATGCAGATCCAATGGAGAAGTCATACTGACGGTTAGACGGGAATGTGAAAGTGTGGCACCATGCTGCCATCCGTAAGGGGAGGCCGGGGTTAGAAAACAGCCACAAAAACCACCCTACTTCTCTCTTCCCTGTAGTCTCTCGATGCCAGATGTATGAGTATAGCTGGGACAGAAAAGTCACGTATGACCGGCTTTAAGCTGATGTCCGTTAGGCTCTGCAGTCAGGCACCACTACTAGTACAACTTTTCTTCTAGGTACCCCAGGATAAAGTAAGCTGCTACAATATGGACGGTTTAGAAGTGTCAACCACCCTCACAACTCTGTCAGAACTCAACTTCCTTCAGGTCACTGTCAACCTTTCGCAACTTTGTTTTCTAATCCTTATGTCTCATGATCAATATTCCTACTTCATCTTTAATTTCTTGATGCTCTTCAGAACGATTCAAGTTCACAGAACATCTTTGGTCTGTTGAAGCCACGTTGAAAAATACATATTAGAACCTCCAAGGTCCACACTCTCCATCTAAGCGATTGACAAACTTTGTTGGTCAAAACTTTGGCATTTCAGGCCATGGGTGTGTGGTGCTTGTGAAACACAGGATCGAAGTGCAGCTATTTCCTTAACTCCACCCGACCACTATGGTGAATCTACGGTATTAATCCTTCAAGTTTCTGGATATTTGATGACCAGTTCCCACGGTTTTTTAGTTGTAGATATAGCAGAAAGTGCACTGCTCGACTGGTTTCCAGTTGACAGTAAACTGTGCGTTCTTTGTCTGAATGGTGCACTGAGGACTGAAAAGAGTGGTTGAACACGCCGTTGTCTCTCGTAATTTCTGTTCACGCGCCTATCGACTGAAGTTGGGATGAAATGAGAGATGAGTTCTACCGAAAACTGTCTAGTCTCCAACAGAAAGTCAAGCATTCAAATTTGGCTTTCGTAGTAGGTGATTTTGAGGCACAAGTGAGTAGGCCAAATCACACAGAATGCCACTTATTTGGTACTTTCGAATTTCCAGCTGAATGAACAGATAACGGTGATCACCTGCAGCAACTGTGCCCGGACAAGCATCTACTTTCGGCCAGCACGAACCCAATATTACAAGGAACTGCTTGAAGTGGCGTCCACTAACCCCAAATTAACAATGGACACAGGCATACCATAATGCTGTCATATATCGTTGAAGAAGGCACAACTTACATAACCAGGTGCATGCAAGTAACAAACCCTGTCCAAGGAATTATATCAGTTTTTCCACATGGTTTGTGAAAGGAAAACGAGAACTAATTGCCTCAAAGCGATTTCTCCATCAGCAGTTATAAGCTAACTGTCGCTGTCTTATGCTGATTAGGGAAGATATGACGATTATTTGGAATAAAATGTAAACGTAGTAAAGCAGTCTACGAAATTTATTCACAAAATTAACTCATGAATTCAAATGCACGTGAGAGTAATTTGTCAGTGGGTTTTCATCGGCTTGAAATAAGTACAAAAATCCATCGCAAATAATTTTGAAAAACAGTACACCATATACTATAGATGTGGTGTTAATACCAAAAACTCGGGCTTTTTATGAAGCACTCTTGTTGCGTAATCTAACATTTCACTTAGTTACACATCGAGCACGCTATTTAAAACAAGGAATTACAGCAAATAGTGATAATTATTGATAATGAATAATAAAAGTCAAACTAAGTAACCACCGTGAAGCTATAGAATACGCAGTTGAAGGGATTTAATCCATTCACTATCCAGTGTTACGGAAACCAAACATTACAGCTGGAATGTTTCAAAGTAAGCTTAGTCTTTGGCATTAGAACAGACTTGAAAGAACACCACAAGAAGAGTTATGTTGTGAAAACCTTCACTCCACATCAAACGTAAATTTGGAAGTTATGAAACAGCCAACCTGAAGTTGAAGGATTTTGGTATGTTCCCAGAAAAGAAAATAAGCTCAAAAGGTGTTTGAAAGAATTTTAGGTCATAGCTGGACGGCACAGGATTAAATTTCAGATAAAACCCTTAGCTACTAACAACAAAAAAGGTGAACAAAGTATGTAACCTAGCAAAAATGAAATTTTTCGAATTGACAAACTTTACAACAATACACAAGGTTCGAAGAAGTTGAATAACATCCAGAGAAATAAGGATATGAGGAGAGAACAAGTAAAGGTTAATGAGAAGTTCAAAACTACGATAACAGTGAATACATCTGGGCTTTGGCACGCGTCTTATTCAACGACCATTTTTATAGCTGTACATTAGGATAAAATGTACTCTCACTCAGCGTGCACTTCCAGTAAGTATAGCTTAAAGTAATGCACAACTAGCAGCGTTATTTAATCTAAATTTCTAGGAGTCATTCTTGATACAGTACTGCGGGAACTGTGGAGGCTTTGCTGTATGGGAAGTCAACCCACAACCTATGCATAAGTGGAAGCTGTTGTGTCCCACTAGTTTAAGCACTAAACTTTCGACTGGTGAGTTAGAACCTCGAACTTCGCCTACTCTAACGGAGTTCCGGCGGTCTGATATCATAAATATTTTCACCGCACACAACTCATTCCCCGCGGAACAAACCTGTATGCGACTGTTGAGTTGTATAGGTATTAACACTAGCTGGCATTAGCCGGAAGTAACATCTATGTCCCAGATTTATAGAGGTAGAACAAATTAATAGTTGTCGGATACCTAAGACTAATAATAACAGGCACATTACTATTTTTATAAACATATCTTAGCAAAACCGAAGTTTTGTTAAGATGAGCATTCATGAGTGGTTTTGAATGGATACATATCCTAAGTAATACTTCAGTTGAAACCTTTCAGTAAATGGTAACACGATTTAATGATGTAGAAAGTAAAAGAACATACTTCGAGAAAAGCTTTTCCAGATAAGTAACACTTACGAAATGGTCTCACTACTTCTTTCATACATGTCCGTATATCTACATACATATATCCTGTGCCTAATGGGACCCATATCAGATGCAATAAACTCCAATCAAAAAGCACTACGAAACAGTTATATCAATGAGAATGCAAATCTCACTGCAAAGTTTGTAATCTATCATATGCAACCACTCAATCTGACAAGTAGTGGTTCCAATCCTTGCCTTCTGAGAATAATTCTAAAAGGATTTTATGGATATCAGCACTATTTAGTGTAATGGTTATTAAATTCTAGCAGCAAAGTGTTTAATACATGTAGAGTGCTAGAAGGATGAAACCGATAGATAACCTACCTGGTAACTTGTTGAGACTGGACGTCTTCATTGACACACCAACGGACATACAACTAAAATTAAACTTAGGCATGACCGAGAAGACATATTTACGCATTAGTACCCTTATTTAGCACTGTAATTTCGAAATAATAGATTCCTGTAGTCAGAGGGATAGAAGCATCAGAACGAACACAGGCTGCATCTTGACCACTATAATTACTATCTGGAAAAGCAAATGATTGGGTGGAAATGTAAAAATACCATGACGCTCGTTGAATCCACTACTAAATGATACTGTAAGTGCGAAATGTGACAATCGTAAGGATCTTGAACGATCCTTAACATTCCAGCACCTAGGTAACCTCTGAAAGTTCGGTGATAAATAACTGCTTTTGTAAAACTTCAGCCAGAAGCTATCAAAATCCTTAGCTAGCTTTTCATAGCCGTTCGGCAACGCCATTTTGATACAGACAGCTGATGTCGATAAACCGCGCCACAGGAAATTGATATTTGGACCCGACTTGGGAGTTCACTTAAAGTGGTCCTGATATTCAACATATATCTCTTATAAAACAGTACCTGAGAAAATTGTGCTACATTCTTCCTCAATACACATTCAATGTAACATCCTTCAAACAGCAATAAAAAGAGATTTAAGAACTTTATTTGTTGTGAATTACAGCCAGCCGGAATGACTAGGAAAAACAGGTGATGCCTACTTGTTATGCCTTCAGTAGATGATAATTAACGCATATTCCATATCGATCACCAGTGATACCTTTCCACCTCTAAATTAAGTGGTTTGAACATGCTAGGATAAGCGTCAGTACTAGTCGTTTTCTAACGGATCGATGTGTTCGTCCAGTCTTGCACTGAATAAGTCAGTTGGTAGTATGGACACCACCTCTTATGACTGTCGGTTCCCAGAGTTCATTAAATTAGACGAAAACAAATAATGAACGGTGGTATCGTTGATCTTCAGCCTTCATATGATGCTCCTATGTCCCCTTTGATATTCCAGTCTAGTGTCAACTCCAAGTAGGTAGGCTAGAAATCGGCAATCGCTCTTTGTCCTTTACAAACAGGGAACTCTCCAGTCCGTGCACGCATACTACCAGTGATTTCGAAACATTATTTTCATTTAGAACCCAGAGTTGGTTGCCTAACCAAACTCAAAAGTTTATGGAAACTAAAATTATAAACCCTATGTCATCCTGAAACTTCAGTCGGCTTTCTCTAAGTGAGCTGTGCTGAGAACCTGGCAGCAAAGCGCTGATTTGCGGGATGGCTACACTAGCTCCAGCTGACTACTGTTTCCGAGCTTTTAGCAGCAGCAATAATCAAGTCACTAGGTTACATTTTGTGGGTACTACCAACAGCCTGTCTTACGAACGAGTGCAGCCATAATGTTCCTCCAGCTCTTTCGAAACATGCCCTGGATGATGGACATTCCCAATACATTAGTCAATGAGCGAGCTACGTAAGGTCCACGCTGTCCGGGAATCCTTGGTTGTAACTCACTCCGTCCCTCTGATTTCTTAAAGATGTCCTAAATATGCGACTGACACCGATGTCAAAACAGCTTACTCTGTTGAATATTGTGAACTCATCACTATTTATCTCTTCCGGCCGATTTGGTTTCTAGAATGGTCGCGAACATCGATATGACTACTTCCCACCAAAAATAAATGCAGGAGCATCATGAAATAACATGTATTGATTTTCTTTTGTTTCGGAGTTTGAAAGTAAAACTGAATCAGGGGTAACCATCATCAGATCAAAATAATAATCACTCTTCAAAATAGATGGGTTCTAGTTAAATATGATGCACTTTGACAGACATTTGTGGACTTTTCATTCCATTCTTTATTTTCTGGGTGAACTTCGTTAAAAAGTCTTGTAGCTTCTCCTGAACTCATCCACTCCCCGTGGAATTTTTCGGAGAGTAACATACCGTGGTGTTTGTCACTGCTGAAGAAACATGCAAAGCACCTTCCAATCACAAAATCCCCTTTAATGCTCATGAGCTTCTCTGAGCTGTGAATATGCTGGGCTGTCATCCCTTGATAAATCTCTCCCATGATTTGTCGCCGCTTCCGAAACACATAGAACCCAGGAGCATTTTAGTAGACAGTCAATGGTCTCATTCCATTCCGTTTCCACGGACGATGTTGTTTCGTAATATTCCGGCCTCTCACTATTTAGTGAACTCTTGTTGCAACTTTAAGGGGTCTCTTCCTTCACACTACTTAAACTTCGCCCCTGGGGAATTAATAATTGGCTTTCGTTTACTTTGTGACCGAAATTCACATAATTCTGCAGACAGAACAATCATCGGTCTCATCTCCTTTTGGTTGTAGCTCCGCTGGAAAACACCGTGTTACCGAATCTCCAGATGCCTACAAATTTGCCCACTGCAACCATACAGCTTCGCAACACTTTGTAGCATTACCTACCATATCGGGGAAATTCAGTTTCGCGGGCAGTTAACAGTATCACTGTCACCTAAAGCTCGGAAAACCCTTAGTAAGCCAGTGTGTGTGAATCCTATCCTCGTCACTGTCTTCCGGCCTAATATGTGATGACATCGAGAGACATATGGGTACACAATGCTGTAGGCTGAAACCGCTTGGACTATTAACGTACTTAGCGGCATGACTTAAAGATCATCTAGGAAGAGCATATAAATCTTATTTCTGTAGAGGTGGCTAAACTACTGACCCTGATCGTGTAGTTGCGTTGAGCGCAGTGGAGGTACAAATTGGCAGTTGATAATGAAAGAAAGCAAGCTTGACCAAACGAGCTTCCGAACACTTGACCATTCAAACGGAATTGGCTTATTCCTCTGAATCTCCGTTTATCCTCTCCTCAGTTTCACCCGAGCTTCCATAATGGTAATAAACTAACATTCTCACATGAAAATGTCTCACATGTGAGATACCATTTAATTGGCTTCATCAGTCTGACGTAAACTGAAATGGCGTCAAGCTTGTGCTTTCTGTAGCTAGTTGCAATGCAGTTTTCCTCTCGCAACCATAACTACTGCAGTGAAATACGCATATGACGAACGCGTCATGACTGTGATGCGGCCCCACCTTCAAGAATACTAGAAGATTCAAACAATAACCGAATAATTCCTAATTTCGAAATAAGCCTGCTTCAACACACCTCTTACATGCCATGAATAACGGTATCTAATGTATAACTTAACACTGTACATAATAGACATTTCTCATTACCAAAATGATCAAACCTGTAAACTGGTTTGTATTCATGTATCCTATGTTGCATGAAATATACATATATTATTATATCTACCAGCGATTGGGTGAACATTTCGGAATCTATCAATGTTTATCCGCCAAAAACGGGAACATCTTAAAATGACGGTTTTTTGTAGAATTCATGAGCTGTAATGATATAAACACTCAAAGATCGTACATGTTGCCGGGCTCAGCATCAATCAGAGAAAAGTGCTACATACTTCTCAGATTTCCCGTAACTTCATAAGACTCTGTGGCTGAAATATAGTGTTGTGGCGAGTCAGGTTACCTGAGCAAACAGTACCCACTTTTTGTAGCTTCTCATATCTCGCTCCACCAGCACACTATGCGTACACATCAAATCAGTCCGAAACATTCTGTTCTAATATCACCGAAAACATCTGTTTCAGTCTACCTGTCACCCAACTTCCACTGGCTTCTCTAAGGTGATGTGTAGTTTCTTCAGATGTTTGTTTACTTTGGCATTACATTTGCCAGCATAGTGTTATCACTATCTGATACTCTGCAGTTACCCTGGTTCGAACTGCTAGATCGTTTTAAACTCTTCCAGTAAACTAGGTTAATGGGTTTTCAGATGAACCTTCAGGACGCCAGCAACCAGTTATATCCATCCAAGCTACATAAACTGTCACCGGGTAGCAGCAAAGAATCAGAGTGAAGTAAGTAACCCCAGGGACCTTCTACTTACACACATGTAGCTTTGGAGACGCCAGTCATTCTCATCATCAGGACAGTAAAGGGAGCCCGTGGTGATGAATGCGATATTATTGTATAACCTGACGGATCTTGCATCCTGCCGAACGTTTCTGTAGTCTGAACAGGTTGTCTAAAGACACGCTTGAGGCAGTTTAAACTCTAAATGGTACTGACTAGCAGCCCAATGAATATCGGTTAACCAATCGTAGATTACTCGTATAAACTGCCTGGAAATGCATGCCCGTTGAGTTAAGCACTTTTTAAAGTGGTTAATAAAACTGGCAGAAAAATGCGAAGATACTCTCTAACGACTGGCTCAGAATAGTGCGCCTTTCGAGAGTATGGCTCTCAAAATCTGAATTTCTTAGGGTCATATTTGAACTCCGTGAATGACCTATACAATTAGCAAAAATGTACGTTTGGAGAGTCATAATGTTAGCGGAGAACAACACTGCCGAAAAGGCGTCTCTTCATCCTAGAAATATAGGGGAAAATTAGGCGGGACAACATTCGAGTTTTCGTGCAAACTGAGTCAACTCGTGCTCACGAAACATTACTTCAGTGCATGCCAATTGAATCCCAGTTTCATTCAATTTGTAAAGGCTACAACATAGATAAATCCTGAAGTCTCCAAACAAAGTGCATTGACCGCTTGGCAAAATCATCTTTATAAAGACGAAGGCACTTTCACACAGCCAATGGATCTTCTTGAGGTAAGAACAATAAACGCATCTCCCTAAACAACTCCTTTGCTTTAATACGCCAGAAGATTGGTATCTGTGACGGCGCCAAGTCTCCAAACACAAAAGATATCAACACCAAGGTATGACATCTACCCTCGAAATTTTTCTAGTGAGAGGGACTCACTGGCAGTCAATGCACAAACAGGATATACGTTACCTAAACGGAACACCAGCGTTGACGAGATCCAACCACTCCCACAGTATGTGTAAGCTTTTAGTAGCGCTGATGGAGTGACAACCTCCAATTACGAACCCTTACACTATCACTGCAGATTTAAATGCGGCTACTGAGGTAGGTAAATTCTTATCTATGAATTTGCATTCATTATTTGTACAAACTGCGTCAGCTCCTCCTTACAGATCGATTACTTTCCAATGGTACGTGTTAGAAATATGATATATTGGTTCTTCACATCATAATACAAGATTTCAATACCCCCTGTGTGAAATAGGCATATTACCTTCTGCAGAATCATTAATCCATTTGACAATAACTTACCTATGTCATTCGTGGAATATTCCGTTATCTAGCAAGTAACTAACGACGCGTTTCACTCGTAATCAACACCTCTCTTCCATGACATGGCGCAAACACATCACAGATTAAACGCCAACATCTTACAATCGTTTGCAGGCAAGGGTTGTATACCCATGTCACACCCACGAACTAAGCAATGTGCCATCTACTGCTCAACAAGAATCAGGTGAAACTGCTAAATGGTGCGACGAGTTGCATT